CAAACAAAGACATCTCTTATATTAGAGGAGAAACGAAATGAGTCTCAGTCTAAGACTCATTTATCTTAGACTGAGAGCAAATTAACTACTCTTGACAACCTGACACAATTCTGTTCTGACTTGAAAATGTCTCAAAGATTTCTAGTTGATTGTGAGAGGGTTCCCAGTAACCTAGAGCTGATTGCCCAATGGTAAGTCAAGCAAGAGATAAACAGGCTGATTCTTTTTTTTTCTTTTTTCTTGAGACAGTTTCACTCTTGCTGCCCAGTCTGAAGTGCAACGGCACAATCTCGGCTCACTGCAACCTCCACCTCCCAGGTTCAGGTGATTCTCCTGCATCAGCCTCCCAAGCAGCTTGGATTATAGGCATGTGCCACCATGCCTGGCTAAATTTTTTTTTTTGTATTTAGTAGAGATGGGGTTTTACCATGTTGGTCAGGCTGGTCTCGAACTCCTGACCTCAGGTGATCCACCCACCTTGGCCTCCCAAAGTGCTGGGATTATAGGCGTGTCACTTGACCTGGCCTCAGGCTGATTTCAAATAGAAAATAGAACTGCCCTGGTAGAGCTCCAGAACCTGCATCACATGTCCTGATTGGCTAGCTCTTGGGTAAGAAAAAAGACAAAAGGCGGCTCATCCCAGCACTTTGGGAGGCCGAGGGGGGCTGATCACCGAGGTCAGGAGTTCAAGACCAGCCTGGCGAACATGGTGAAACTCTGTCTCTACTAAAAACACAAAAAATTAGCCGGGCGTGGTGGGCTAAGGCAAGAGAACTGCTTGAACCCAGGAGGCAGAGGTTGCAGTGAGCCAAGATGGTGCCATTGCACTCCAGCCTGGGCGACAGAGTGAGACTCAGTCTCAAAACAAAAACAAAAAGTAGCCTACTCCAGTATCACAGTTTATGGGTAGGTATAGTTGTAGTCATAGCTCTGGACATTTTGTGGCCTTGATCTCTCACTCCTAAGATGCTTGTTCACACTTACAGATTCTATTTATACCTGGAGACTCTCACATAAGTGTAGCAAAATCTGAAAAGTCCAAAAAGCCACACTCTCAAAGGGGTCTTTAAGATGTCTATGTTGCTCAAGGAGTTCAAGACTAGCCTGGCTAGTCTTGAAAATGCCTTGTTACTTTCTGTACATTCTGAATCCAAAACCCAGCCCTGTCTTGTGAATCCCAGGCAGAGGCCAAACTCTACGTGCAGATTCTATGTTGGATCAACCTGGCTCTGTATTTTTGGGTGTTAAAAGCAGAGTACAATCAAAAGAGAGATGCCCTCAGAGGATGCTATAACACATTTTCTTTTTTTTTTTTCTTTTTTGAGATGGAGTCTCGCACTGTTGCCTGGGCTGGAGTGCAATGGTGGGGTATCGGCTTACTGCAACCTCCATCCACCTCCCAGGTTCAAGCGATTCTCCCATCTCGGCCTCCTGAGTTGCTGGGATTACAGGTGCCTGCCACGATACCTGACTAATTTTTTGTATTTTTAGTAGAGATGGGGTTTCACTATGTTGGCCAGGCTGGTCTTGAACTCTGACCTCGTGCTCTGCCTGTCTCGGCCTCCCAGAGTGCTGGGATTACAGGTGTGAGCCATCACGCCTGGCCTGTAGCACATTTTAATAATATGTCTACCTAAAAGAAAAAAGCTGACTCAACATGAATATAAATAGATCATTTATTTGGGCCAACCTTGAGCATTATAACCTGAGAGCAATGATTCAAGTTGTCTGGAATCTAAACTTTAGCAGCAGTTACAAGTAGATCTGTAAAGGCAAAAAAAGTGGGGCAGAGAGTGGACAGGTACAAAGATGTTTGTCAGTTCCACTTAGGCCAGGCGCAGTGGTTCATGCCAGCAATTGAGCACTTTGGGAGACCGAGGCGGGTTGATCACCTGATGTCAGGAGTTCAAGACCAGTCTGGCCAACATGTTGAAATCCCATCTCTACTAAAAATACAAAAAATTAGCCAAGCATGGTGGCACATGCCTGTAATCCCAGCTACTCCGGAGGCTGAGGCAGAAGAATTGCTTGAACCCAGGAGATGGAGGTTGCAGTAAGCCTAGCTAGCACCATTGCACTCCACCCTGGGAAATAAGAGCGAAACTCTGTCTCAAACAGAAACAAACAAAAAAAAAACCCCAAAGTTGTTTGTCAGAAAGTCTTATTTACAAAAATGACATTGATTATTAGGCAGGTGCAGTGGCTCATGCCTGTAATCCCAGCACTTTGGGAGGCTGAGGTGGGTGGATCACCTGAGGTCAGGAGTTCGAGACCAGCCTGACCAATATGGTGAAACCCCGTCTCTAAAAAAAAAAAAAAAAAAAAAAGACATTGATTGATTGGATATGCATTGTTAAGGTTTAAGTTATGGGTTATAGTGTCCAGTGTGGCATTATTAGTTTCATTTATAGCTACTTGTGGGAATACCAAAGTTTCAAGAGATTAATATATAATTCAAAGGGAGGAGAAAGAAATAATTGTGCTCTCATTTTAATGTTTCCCTGAGTTTTGACAAATAAAAGGACTTCCATTTATCAGATTAAAGTTTATTTCTCAAATCTCAAAAGCTAGAATCAGAATTTGGAGCTGCAGATTTAGTGGAACTAAATCTAGTGGAGTAGCAGTAGGTTTTACTTGCACATTTTTGGGCATTTTTAGCAAGAGGAAGAAAGGGAAAGTAGAGATTCTCACGTCTCCATGTCTACTCAATGCACACATGTTACTCTGATTGGGATTCTGGGCCCCATGGTCTGTGAATTACTTTCAGGTCTGAGGATAAAAGAGTCACTGAAAGAGGCAAAATGGTTGATTGCTTCCCTGTGAAGTTTGTAGAAATCTTGTCTATCCCTCCTAGAAGTGATTATAGATAATTATAATACCAAATAGGCTAAGAAACAATTCCAACTGCATATTTAGGTGACAACATGCACTTTACAGCACAATTGTGAGTTGGCTGGAAGCCTGAGAGGTGAAGTTTCCTCTAGAGTAAAGCTTGGTTGGCACCTTATATGTTTATATTATGTCTGGTAATTCAAGACAGTGTTTGGAAAATATAATTAAAAATAAATTCTGTATTTTCTCAAAACAGAAAAAAGAAAAATAAATAAATTCTGCAGCCCCAGAGAAACTCCAAAATGATAGAACAGAAAGAAAACTCTTGGCCAGGTGCTGTGGCTCATGCCTGTAATCCAAGCACTTTGGAGGCCAAGGCAGGAGGATCACCTGAGGTTGGGAGTTCAAGACCAGCCTAACCAACATGGTGAAACCCCGTCTTAAAAAATAAATAAATAAAACTCTTTATTACACAATTAAACCAGAATGTGAGTGGCATCTCAGTAAATCTCAAAGACAGAAAGACAGTTGAGCAGGCTCACTCAGCCTGAGTAGTGATTCAGGCTCAGCTTCCATTTCTAATAGTGACATGAAAAAAATACTTCTGGGTTTTCAGCATGAGTTCAGATGATGATAGCTCCAAAAGTTATCACTGTGCATTCACAGACACCATGGGATACTAACAGAGCTTCTGAAACAGATACCCAATGCATTAGGAAAAAAAATAGCTTGGCTGGGTGAATCATGAGGTCAGGAGTTCAAGACTAGCCTGACCAACACAGTGAAACCCCACCTCTACTAAAAATAGAAAAATTAGCCAGGCATGGTGGCACGTGCCTGTAATCCCAGCTACTCAGGAGGCTGAGGCAGGAGAATCGCTTGATCCCGGGAGGTGGAGACTGCAGTGAGCCAAGATTGAGCCACTGTACTCTAGCCTGGGTGACAGAGCAAGACTTCATCTCAAAAAAAAAAAAAAAAAGTAAAAGTAAAAAGAAAGAAAAAACAGCTCTCCATCTGACCAAGATTATATTGAGGGGGAAAAAAAAAGACGTTAAAAGCATCTTAAGAAAAAACAGATTAGATGTAAGATTGATCAAGTCAGCCAGAAAATATTCCCCTTAAAGAAATTTTTCTCTAACCAAAGTGCACAGCTACTCTCAGCATGAGAAACATGAGCATTATGAAAAAAAGAAAATATTCTTAGCAGAATTTTCTAAGGTTTCTCTTCCATGTCTGCTGCTCTCTCATCTCCTAGCCATTGGATGGGAGTTCCATATTGGAATACATCTCACAATTTCGACAAGCACCTTTTGATTAAGATCTGACTTTGTTCATATGGTGGAATATATTCAAGCTTGCCACACAGCTAACTGAAGAGCTATTTTTTCTGAGTGGCCACTTGACCTGTTTTATTTGTCTTGCAATAGCAGCATTCCAATTTAGTTAATTGAAAGACATTAAAATTAAGCTTACCTGTAATTATCCATTTTTTTTTTTTTTTTTTTCAAAGACAGGGTTTTACCATGTTGGTCAGGCTGGTCTTGAACTCAAGACCTCTACCCCCCTTGGCCACCACGCCCAGCAATTATCCATGTTGGATAAATTAATAAGCATGTAAGACTAATATCTATTGTAACAATTTGGTAGTGAATTTTCTTTGGATATTATATATAAATATCTAAGTACAATTTTAATGTGCTAGTCATATGTATGTAGTATTTTTAAAAATTGTCTATAACCATACTTTAGTTAAAACACTTTCCTGGCCGGGCGTGGTGGTTCACGCCTGTAGTCCAAGCACTTTGGAGGCCAAGGCGGGTGGATCACCTGAGGTCGGGAGTTCAAGACCAGCCTGACCAACATGGTGAAACCCTGTCTTTTAAAAAAAAAAAAATTAAAAAAAACAAAAACAAAAACAAAAAACACTTTCCAGCTGGGTGCAGTAGCTCATGCCTGTAATCCCAGGAGGCTGAGGTGGGTGAATCACTTGAGGTCAGGAGTTCAAAACCAGCCTGGCCAACAAGGTGAGACCCTGTCTCTACTAAAAAATACAAAACAATCAGCCAAGCGTGGTGGCATGTGCCTGTAATCGCAGCTCCTTGGGGGGTTGAGGCAGGAAAACTGCTTGAACACAGGAGGCAGAGGTTGCAGTGGGCCAAGATCACTGCACTCCAGCCTGGATGACAGAACAAGACTCTGTCTAAAAAAAAAAAGAAATGGGTGCACATGAATAAAGCAAGTTCTTAGAGACCTATGGAGACTTAGATTCTGACACAATGAGAGAAGGAGACTACAATACCCCACAGACACTAATAAACAGATTACTGAAGCAGAAAATTAAAAGATATTAGGACCTAAACTTAACACTTGACCAAATAGTCCTAAAAGACGTCTAGAGAACTCTCTATCTAAAAGCATATCTAAAATAATACGCATTATTTTAGAGATAATGCATATCTAAAAATAATACGCATTATTCTCATTACCACATGGCAAATACTCTAAAACTGATGCCACAATCGGAAATAAAACAATCCGGCCCCCGCCCCAACCCCAGACCCGGACCTCGCAGGAGACGGGTGCCCCCATCCGCACACTGTCCTTTGGCCACCAGACATCATGCCTCCCCAGAAGGATGTTCCCGTGAAGAAAACAGCAGGGCCCTCCATCTCCAAACCTGTTACTAAGCCAGCAGCAGCAGGGGCTCCTCCAGCCAAACCCAAAGCTGAGCCAGCTGTCCCCCAGGCCCCTCAGAAAACCCAGGAGCCTCCAGTCGATCTCTCGAAAGTGGTGATCGAGTTTAACAAGGACCAACTGGAGGAGTTCAAGGAGGCCTTTAAGCTGTTTGACCGAGTGGGGGATGGCAAGATCCTGTACAGCCAGTGTGGGGACGTGATGAGGGCCCTGGGCCAGAACCCCACCAACGCTGAGGTGCTCAAGATCCTGGGAAACCCCAAGAGTGATGAGCTGAAGTCCCGGCGTGTGGACTTTGAGACTTTCCTGCCCATGCTCCAGGCAGTGGCCAAGAACCGGGACCAAGGCATACATGAGGACTTCTTGGAGGGGCTTCATGTGTTTGACAAGGAGGGGAACGGCAAAGTCATGGGAGCAGAGCTCAGACATGTCCTCACCACCCTCGGAGAGAAGATGACTGAGGAGGAGGTGGAGACTGTTCTGGCAGGACATGAGGACAGCAACGGCTGCATCAACTACGAGGCCTTCCTGAAACACATCCTAAGCGTCTGAGTACTGCAGATCAGTGGGGCCCGAATACTGGGCCCCGCAGGCAGAAGCACGTTCCAGCCACCAGGAGGCCACCTATTGTTTCAAAATAAAGACTCGGTTCCTCCCTTGAAAAAAAAAAAAAAAGAAAGAAAACAATCCTCAGGAAATCCAAAAATCCCAAATCATACCAACCACATACTCAGATGACACCTTGACAAAACAACATTCAATATAAAGAAAACCACTTGAAACAATCCAATTACATGGAAATTAAACAACTAGTACTTGAATAACTTTTGGGTAAATAATAAAATTTACCCAAATTTTATTATTTGGGCAGAAATCAACAAGTTCTTTAAAAATAAATGGGTACAAAATTGCAATGTACCAGAATCTCCACAACATGGCCAAGGCAGTGTTAAGAAATTTATAGGCCAGGTGCAGTGGCTCACGCCTGTAATCCTAGCACTTTGGGAGGCCGAGGTGGGTGGATCACCTGAGGTCAGGAGTTCAAGACCAGCCTGGCCATCATGGTGAAACCCATCTTTAGAAAAAATAAATAAATAGGCCAGGCGCGGTGGCTCACGCCTGAAATCCCAGCACTTTGGGAGGTCAAGGCGGGCGGATCACGAGGTCAAGAAATCGAGACCATCCTGGCCAACATGGTGAAACCCCGTCTCTACTAAAAATACAAAAAAAAATTAGCTGGGCATGGTGGTGTGCACTTGTAGTCCCAGCTACTCAGGAGGCTGAGGCAGGAGAATTGCTTGAACCCAGGAAGCGGAGGTTGCAGTGAGTCGAGGTCGTGCCACTGCACTCCAGCTTGGCTCCTGGTGATGGTGTGAGACTGTGTCAAAAAAAGAAAGAAAAAAAAAGAACAGAAAAAAAAAATAAATAAATAAAAAATAAAAAAAGAGAGAAATTTATGGCCGGGCGCAGTGGCTCACACCTGTAATCACAGCACTTTGGGAGGCCGAGGTGGGCGTATCACAAGGTCAAGAGATCGAGACCATCCTGGGCAACATGGTGAAACCCCGTCTCGACTAAAAACACAAAATTTAGCTGGGCGTGGTGGCGCACGCCTGTGGTCCCAGCTACTCAGCAGGCTGAGGCAGGAGAATTGTCTGAACCTGGGAGGTGGAGGTTGCAGTGAGCCGAGATTGCGGCACTGCACTCCAGTCTGGCGCCTGACGACGGAGCAAGACTCTGTCTCAAAAAAAAAAAAAAGAGAGAGAGAGAAATTTATAGCATTAAATGCTCACATCACAAAGTTAGAAAAATCTCAGTTTAACAACCTGGGCTGGGTGTGATGGCTCACGCCTGTAATCCCAGCACTTTGGGAGGCTGAGGAGAGTGCATCACCTGAGGTCAGTGGCACCATCTCAGCTCAGTGCAGATCAAGTTTTGTTTTTGTTTTTGAGACAGAGTTCTTATCGCCCAGGCTGGAATGAAATGGCATGATCTCAGCTCACCGCAATCTCTGCCTCTTGATTTCAGTAGATCAAGCCTGACCAACATGATGAAACTCCTTCTCCACTAAAAATACAAAAAAATTAGCCAGACGTGGTGGCAGGTAACTGTAATTCCAGATGCTTAGGAGACTGAGGCAAGAGAATCGCTTGAACCTGGGAGGCGGAAATTGCAGTGAGCTGAGATCACGCCATTGCATTCTAACCTGGGCAACAAGAACTCTGTCTCAAAAGCAAAATCCAAAACAAAAACTGACATCATAAATAAAAGAATGAGAGAAGAAAAAGCAAATCGACCTCTAAGCTAGCAAAGTACAAGAAATAATGAGGATTGGCCAGGTGCAATGGCTTGTGCCTGTAATCCACCACTTTGGGAGGCCAAGGCAGGCAGATCACAAGGTCAGGAGTTCAAGATCAGCCTGGCCAAGATGGTAAAACCCCATCTCTACTAAAAATACAAAAATTAGCCAGCTGTGGTGGTAGGCACCTGTAACCCCAGGTCCTCGGGAGGCTGAGGTAGAGAATTGCTTGACCTGGGAAGCAGAGGTTGCAGTGAGCTGAGATGGCGCCACTGCACTACAACCTGGGCAACAGAGACTCTGTCTCAAAAATAAATAAATAAATAAAATAACAAAAATCAGATCTGAACTGGAGATTTAGACATTTAAAAAAATCAAAAAATATGGAGAACTCCAGGAGTAAAATCTTTGCAAGAATTAATAATAATCCACTATGGGGAGGGAGGGGAGGGTAGGGAGGGACAACATGGGGAGAAATGCCAGATATAGTATGCGCCTGAAGTAAAATAAATAAATTAAAAAAAATAATAATAATAATCCACTAGAGAGATTAATGAAGAAAGAAGATTCAAATAAACACAATTAGAAATGACAAAATGGACATCAACACTGACCCGACAAAAAAACAAATAACTACTAAACTCTGTAATGAACACTTCTATGCAAACAAACTGGAAAATCTAGAAGAAATAGATAGATTCCTGGACATATATATTCTCCAAAGACTAAAACAAACAAAAAAATCGTATCCCTTAACGGACCTGCAAGATCCAAAATTGAATATGTAATAAATAGCCTATAAATAAAAAAAAAGCTCAGGACCAGACAGATTCACAGCCGAATTCTACCAGATGTACAAAAAAGAGTTGGTAACATTCTTACTAAAGCCATTCCAAAAAATTGAGAAGGAACTCCTCCCCAACTCATTAAATAAAAATAGCATTATTCTGCTACCAAAACCTGGTATAAAACAACAAAAAAGAAAACTTTATGCCAGTGTTCTTAATTAACAGTGATGGAAAAATTCTCAACAAAATACTGGCAAACCGAAGCCAGCGGCACATCAAAAAGCTAATCTACTATGATCAAGTAGTCTATATCCCTGGGATGCAAGCTTATTTCAACATGCACAAATCAATAAATGTGATTAATCACATAAACAGAAATAAAGACCAAAACCACAAGACAAGGTCAATAGATGCAGAAAAATCTTTCAAGAAAATCTAACATTCTCAGGCCACGTGCCGTGGCTCACTCCTGTAATCCCAGCACTTTGGGAGGCCAGGGTGGGTGGATCACAAGGTCAGGAGATCGAGACCATGCTGGCTAACATGGTAATAACCCGTCTCTACTAAAAATACAAAAAATTAGCCGGGCATGGTGGCACATGCCTGTACTCCCAGCTACTCTGGAGGCTGAGGCAGGAGAATCGCTTGAACCTGGGAGGCAGAGGTTGCAATGTGCCGAGATTGCACCACTGCACTCCAGCCGGGCAATAGAACAAGACCCTGTCTCAAAAATATAAAATAAATAATAAATAAAAGCTATCACTATGTAGAAGACTGAAACTGAACCCTTTTCTTCCACCATATACAAAAATCAACTCAAAGTGAATTAAAGTCTTAAATTTAAAATGTAAAATTACTGGCCGGGCATGGTGGCTCACACGTGTAATCTCAGCACTTTGAGAGGCTGAGGCAGGTGGATCACGAAGTCAGGAGTTCAAGAGCAGCCTGTTCAAGCAGCCCTGAAGCAGGGCAATCGCTTGAACCTGGGAGGCCAGAGGTTATAATGTGCCGAGATTGCGCCACTGCACTCCAGCCGGAACACAGTGGGACTCTGCCTGAAAAAAAAAAAAAAAAAAAAGATTTGGCCGGGCGTAGTGGCTCACGCTGTAATCCAAGCACTTTGGAGGCCAAGGCGGGCGGATCACCTGAGGTTGGCAGTTAAAGACCAGCCTGACCAACATGGTTGAAACCCCGTCTTTAAAAGAAAAAAAAAAAAAAAGATTTAGGCCAGGCACAATGGCTCACATCTGTAATCCCAGCATTTTGGGAGGCCGAGGCAGTTGGATCGCGAGGTCAGGAGTTGGAGACCAGCCTGGGCAACATGGTGAAACCCCATCTCTACTAAAAATAATACAAAAATTAGCCGGGCGTGGTGTGCACGCTTGTAATCCTAGCTACTCTGGAGGCTGAGGCAGGAGAATTACTTGAGCCCGAAGGCTGCGCTTGCATTGAGCTGAGATCCCAATCGTGCAACTGCACTCCAGCCTGGGTAACGGAACGAGACTGTCTCAGAAAAAAAGAAAATAAATAACAAATAAAAGATTTAGGCCGGGCACGGTGTCTCACGCCTACAATCCCAGCACTTTGAGAGGCCAAGGTGGGCGGATCACAAGGTCAGGATTTCAACACCAGCCTGATCAACATGGTGAAACCCTGTCTCTACTAAAAACACAAAAAATTAGCCGGGCGTAGTGGCATGCACCTATAATCCCAGCTACTCAGGAGATTGAGGCAAGAGAATCACTTGAACCCAGAAGGCAGAGGTTGCAGTGAGCCAAGACTGTGCCACAACACTCTAGCCTGGGCAATAGAACAAGAACCTGTCTCAAAAAAATAAAATAAATAATAAATAAAAGGTTTAATAAAAACAAAATATGGAACATAAACATCATGAAATACTCTGTGGCCATAAAAAAAACAGACTATGTCCTTTGCAGCAACATGGATAGAACTGACGGTCATTATCCTAGAAAACTAAGAAAGATGTTGGGCATAGTGGCTCACACCTGTAATCCCAGCACTTTGGGAGGCTGAGGCAGGCCGGATCACCTGAGGTCAGGAGTTTGAGACCAGGTTTGGTCAGCCAGGTCAGTCTGGCCAACGTGGTGAAACCCTGTCTCTACTAAAAATACAAAAATTAG